CTGCTGTGCATGGGGTCACTATGAGTCGGAAACGACTTGACGGCACTTAACAACAACTTACTAATAAACAGAGACAGCTTTCACTTTGATACCCAAACCAAACCTGTTGCCCTCGAGTTGATTCTGACTCTTAGCAACCCCAAAGGACAGAATAGGGATGGTCCCATAAGGCTTCCAAAGCTATAATCTTTATGGAAACAGACTACCACATCTTTTTCCCACAGAGTAGTTACTGGGTTTGAACTTCTAACCTTTTGGTGAGCAGTCTAGCACTTAACTACTGTACCATCATTTTTATTAAGATACCTAAAGAATGGCCCCTCCTTCGTTATAGCATCCAACACAGAGCAAAATCCCACTTCTTTGAACTCTCCCCAGAATCACCTGACACAAGCTCAAAACCCTTAATAAGTCCATTCCAAAACCATCTTACTGACATGCATCAAGGGGTGCGTGTTCCTTCACTGCAATGAACAATAAACCCAATTGGTTCAACTACAGATATGTTCTTCTGGTCTTAGGCTAGAGGGCACTGACAAAGCAACCAAAATCAAAGCAATCAAACAAGTAAACAGAAACAAACATGGCTTTATCATGGAACTTGCATAGTAGAATAGACCAATATTATTATTATATAATAATATAAGAAAGAGTCCATATATAGCTTAAATTAGATACAAAACATAAAAGTATAATAAAATTTTCTCAAAATGAGTATAAAGAAATTATTTGATAAATAGTTTTAAGACGAGCAGTGGGAAAATTGTTAGATCCACACTTCAGACCAAATAAAAATGAATTATATATAGGTTAAAGAATTAAATATACTAATAAAAGATAAGATGAAATGTAATGGATTAGTTTATCAGGTCCATGGAAAAATAATTAGCTTTTCAACTGGAAATAGTAGGAAAGTAAAAGATTAACCAATTTAAGTATAATTTTCTTCCATATATTAACAAACAATAATAATAAATAAAAAAGCCAGAGAAATACTGGCTTTTTGTCCACAGTGACAAAATATTTAAATCTAAATAGACTTTATTCAAATTTACAAGAAATACATCATATTAAAAAAATAAATGAGTACCAAGTATGTCATGAATTGTATCCCATCAAAATATGTATCAACTTAGCTAGGCTATTACTCTCAGTTGTTTGGCAGTTATGTAATTATGTAATCATCCCCCATGATATGATCAGCCAATCACTTTTAAGTGGATTGGGGTGGGATGCAACACTCTTACTCAGGTCATAGCCCTGATGTGATGTAAGGGGAATTTCCCTGGGGTATGGCCTGTATGATCTTTTATCTTACAAGAGATAAAAGGAGAGAAGCAAGGGGAAGGAGAGAGGGAGGGAGGGAGAGAGAGAGACAGGAAGAGAGAGAGAGAGAGAGAGAGAGAGAGAGATACCACAGTACCACTAAGAAACAAGAGCCAAGAGGGAAGAGTATGTCCTTTGGACCTGGGTTTCTTGTGCTGAGAACCTCTTAGACCCAAAGGACAGCTAATGCCAAGCAACACACATGAAGATGTCCAAGGAACATCAAGCTCACAGATATTGAAAGGAGACAAGGACTTTCCCCAAGGGTCGATAGAGAAATCCTTCCGCTAGACCTGGCACTAGGCCTCTAGCCTCCTACATTGTGAGGAAATAAATTTCTGTTTATTAGAGCCATTCACTAGAGTCAGCAGCAGCAGATAACAAACTACACAAACGAACAGAATGAGAAAAGCAGCCCCTGACATCTGAGATCTAATCTGATACTATTAGCTGTACCTTTATGTTGTTGAGAGCTGGCCTGCACTCACAGCTAGGCCTTGGTGTTGAACATAAACAATTTCAAAGAATGCCAACATCAGACCAAGGCTACTCTGTGACTGTGGTAGATCAGGACAAAAACAGAACCATTCTATAATCAAGTCTAAATATAGCACTATATAACTAAGATAGGCTGTAACACAATTCACATGGAACGAAATTAAAAAAGTAAACAAAAACATGGTGTTCAATCCTCTCAGTAGTCCAGAGAGGTGCCATTTTACAGCTATTAAAGTACTAAGTTAGGAGCCTTCACGGCACAATGGTTAAGTGCCTGGCTACTAATGGAAAGGTCAGATGTTCAAAGCTATTAGCCACTCTGTAAGAGAAAGATGTGGCAGTCCACATCCATAAAGATTACAGCCTTGAAATCCCTATAGGGCAGTTCTACTCTGTCCTGTAGGGTTGCTATGAGTCAGAACTGATTTGATAGTTAAAACCAAATACAGGTTTGTTTTTTTGGTTTGGTAAAGTACCAAGTTTGACAAATGAATGCTCAAAGCCAGAAATGCTGGGGCCATGCTTGGAAGGGTCTTCACCAATATTAGAATTTTATACTGATGCAACTTATTTGTAAAGCAATACAGTGCAAGAGTCATAACCCAATCACCTCACTTCTAAGAAACCTTTCAATAGAAGCTATGGTCTCAGATTTCACAAATGTATCTATAGCAACAAATTAAACAACTTAAAAATCTACCAGTAAGGCAAAGTTTAATGAATTGTACTGTATGAACACATAATCATTAAAATACTTGTAAAGGCTAGAAACAAAGAAAATGTTTATAATTTGATGTATTTGAAAAAGAAAAAAAGAATCAGGACTGTAAAAGCATAAAAAAGACTACCAAGCACTAGCTAACTACCTATAACATGTCAGGCACTGTTTTAGACATTTTTTGGTCACATTTTACTTAATCTTCACAATATCTTGCCAAGGAAGTACTATTACTTTCATTTTATAGATGAAGACAATGGGGCTAAACGAGGTTAAATAAATTGGTCAAGGTCACATAGTTGGGAAGTGGAGGTGACAGATACAAACCAAGATATAATTCCAAATGCTGTGTTTTAACCATTGGACCTATTCTACCACTTTTAGACATACATGATTGCTGTTGTTGTTGTTGTTATGTGCTATCGAGTCAGACCCGACTCATAGTGACCCCTCCTTGGGTTTCTAAGGCAGTATCACTACGGAAGTAGATTGCCCCATCTTCCTTCCGAGGAGTGGCTGGTGGATTTGAACCGCCAGCCTTCTGGTTAGCAGTCAAGTGCCTTAGGCACTACAATTAAGAGTAAGTGGGGACAAACACCAGAACATAGTATATAGATATGAAATAACAGCTATATGAAGATAGGATTAAAGGTAGTTTTAATTCTAAAAACTTTCCTTTTTAATGCCATATGATCTACTCAAGGAAAACAACACAATCAAGCAATGAACCTCTAACTTCCATGAGAAGTTAATTATATATGTTTTTGGAAAGAGACTTGGTATTGCTTCCTGTCCAAAATTATTTCTCATTTCATTCTTTTCTGCAGAACAGAAAGGAAGCAGAGAACAGGCCAGGATAAAGAGTATCAAAATGAAGCCATCAAAATGGGATACACATCACTGTGTAAAGGGAAGGAGGTCAAAGCTCAGAGGACAAAGAAGCCCAGAAGGAAACAGGGAAAAGTCAAAGCTGACTCAGGAAGATAGGTTATGCTCCAGGACTTCTAGGCAAGAAGAGGGCTGGGTAGGATAGATGTACTGCCAACCAAAGACAATCTGGGGCCTGGCTGCCTGCTTTCCCTCTTAAACTATTCTGAGCTCCTCCATGCTCCCAATGGGTAAGTATGAAAATAGAAATCACAGTCCTCATAGAAACAGCAGTGAGTGCTCCATCCAGTTTTTTTCTCCCCCACCCCCAATCAATTCAGCAATGTTTTATGGCAACATAAGGGCAGGTAGACTCACACTTTTGCTATTCAGTTGTGTGTGCCAACAATAAATCTAGCCCCCTTCTTGGGGCAGGGCTAATTCCTTCCACGCCTACATCTTCAAGTCTTTTCAGTTTATTTGTACCTTGTGGAGAGTTCCAAATAGGGAAACCTCAAAGATAACCTGAATCTTCTCCTGATCAAATCTCAGCTGACACTCTGTCCAGTGTCACCTTTCTTAGGTGGTAAATGGAAATAGAAAACACTCTGGGTTGCTTTGAGATTTGGATTAGAAAATCCACACTAAGAAGCATTAACTTGGGAGATGGTAGGGGAAAACATCTCCCATCTCCTAGACATTCTAAGTTGTTTTACTGTTTGTCTCACACAGCTTAGAAAGCAGGCCCCTCACTCAGTGAGAGATGACCACCTGCTGTGTTTATGGCAGATTATAACCCCTCAGAGCACAGGTGATACTGCCTCCCTGACTACACCATCTGCACCATCTCTTCAGAATAGTACTGCATAGAGGGGTAAGGGCAGAGCTAATTTGTTGTCGAGGCTTTTGAGAAAGGGATGCAAAGCTGGATGCTTCAACAGACATCAACATTTTAGGTGTGGAGACTGACTATGGCTGCAGAAGGAAGGATGGGAAGCAATGCCCTGTAAATCTGAATTCACTGATACTACATCTCAGCCAAGCTGGAACCAGTTATGTGCAAAATGATTAATCACTGTCCTCCTGAAATATTCAAGGTCCTACTGCCCCTTCTTAGAATGGAGACAAAAAAAAAAAAAAAATCTAATGCTGAAATATGACTTTTAGGTTTTTGTTCATCTTACAACCTTTTAATAAAGTAGAACAAGAAATTTTGCCTTGGGCTTGGCTGAGTTATGGGGTTTATCTCCTAAGTGGCAAAACTTCATTCCTCAGATCTATTACAAAACTAAGCTCAAGTTAAAAGAAGGTTGGTAGAGGAAGAGAAACGCTTGTGCTATATCCCAGGCATCAATTTATCGTATGTGGTAAATGCTCAGAGAGACAGGTTTTCTCTTTATATTTATAGAAAAATAGACACTGCAGAACAAAATTAATTTAGCTAATGGGCAAATGCTGATTGCTTGGAGTGGCAAAGTGGGGTTTATTTGTCTTTGACAAAAGTGGCCTCATTACTGCTGGGGCCGGGATGAAAGGGGTTTCAGAGAATAAAGCCTTGGAGGCCAAGATTCCAGCTGGGCCTTGAACTTACCTTCTCAGCGTACTCAGACACCATCTGCTTGATCTCAGCAGAGCACAGGCCCACGATCTGGCCTACGGAGCTTGCGGTGAGCCGGCTCTGTAATCATAAGGAGGTGTGTTCTTAAAGCCATGTCTTGTCTTTCACAGAACTGGAAAACCTGAACACTTTGAGTATTATTGCAAAGTAGATAATATTCCAGGGGGAGAATAATTTAGTTCCTATTCACATATTCATCAAAGAAGAGAGAAAAGAAGGCCCAGAAAAGTGTTAAGCCATCTCTATACTTCCTTTGTTAAAGTTTCTTCAGACCCTGGGTATCCCCGAACAATAAATGGTCTCTCTTCATTAGGGTTACTAAACAAAGCCTACAGGAGACTTGGCGGAGCCAAGACTCAAGTAGGAGAGAAGTACAAATAGGAGAGTAAGTGCAAAATATTTATTTATTGCTACAGGCCTTTCCCAGTCTAAACAGGAATGATCCTTTCAAAGCATCTGATTAAACCTTCTGAGTCGGCCTTCAGCTCTGGGGAGATAAACTAAAATCCAGTGTTCCATTTTCTATCGAGATAGTGCTGGAAGGGAGCAGAGTATAAGGGCTCCTTCATCATGGAATGTATGGAGAGGCAGGGCTGAAATTAGCAGGCACGTGCCAACATGGTGGCCTCTATCCTGCTCTCGAAGCTCTCCTCCCAAAGGTTTCACGGACAGCAACACTATATACTCATAAAAAAGCTTCCCCAAAGAAAGAACAGAGAAAATGTGAAACACCTCCACTGTCCCCAAACACCCAAACACTACCATCTCACCTCCTCAGTTGCCATGGCAGTCATCTTGGTCATCAGTGATTTAATACGCTGCTGAAAAAGAACAGGGAGAAGCAGCAGTGAGGATTGTGGCTATTTAAGAGTTAAACCAGAATGGGCCTTTGCAGTGATATTCAAGGGTTGTTTTCTTTGACCTTGTTTTATGGTGAGCCTCATGACTGGTGGTGTAAGGAGACTGGAATGAGCATGAAAGGCTAGCTCCCAGCAGCTGACTGCTGGAGGACATCAGTCATTTTGGAAAACTGGAGATGAAAGTGAAATTTCTTCCCAAATGATTTAAACAGAAACTGCTAAGAGCCTACTTGGGCCACACACCTCTTCTGCAGCTTGGAGTTCATCTTCCTCGTGGGCTTCGGCCTTTTCTGCTGCTGAAAGTCCTGCTGAAAGTGCCATTTTCTTATCCTCAGCCTGAAAGGGAAAAGACGAAACTGGCTGAGCACTAGAGCTGGGGGACTCAGCATTGCAAAGAGGCGTAAGTTTGGGGAAAAAGACAAAACACAGATGTGGACAGTCAAAGCATCTTGAGAGAAACTGGAAAATTTCAGAGACATGAGCTTCCATTCAAGCTATAGACTGAACAGGTTGGACTTCAGGGCCTGGGGAACGTCTGTCTCCATTTCCAGAGTGCTTGCTAACTAAATTAGTATCAGTTCATACACAATACCATATTTATCCTTACACTTGGACCTTCCCTCTACTTTAATACTTTCAAAAGCAGACCACTGCCTAGGAGTGTTTTTTCAAATTGTCAGTTGAGACTCATTTCAAAACCAAACCCACTGCCACTGAGTCGATTTCAATTCAGAGTAGAACTGCTCTGTAATGATTCCAAGACTACAGTCATTACAGAAGCAGACTGCCACCAACTTTCTCCCATGGAGTAGCTGGTAGGTTAGCATCTGATTCCTTAGCCACTGTGCCACTAGGGCTCCTTCTTGAGCCTCCTTAGTGGAAAGTAAATTTAGCAGGTATGATCAGCATCTAAAAAATTTAAAATAATAGAACATATAAGAGTACTTTGCAGACAGTAAAGGGTTAAGTACTGTTTCGTGAAACTTTGTTTCTGGGTTATGTGTGTGCAGGATGCCTGTTGTTTATTTGTGTGTGTGTGTACGTGTGTGTGTACTGGGTCATAATGAAAAACAGAATTTTTACTGTTCGGAATGGTCAAAAAGTTTGAAAAACATAGGTCTGAAAGAAAAATCTAAATGACTTCACTTGGTGATTAAGCTCCATGCTATAGGCCCTGGATTAATGACTTTTTATAACACGGGCTGCAAATCTAGCCTTCTCGTTTTAAATTCTACTTTTTTCCATCCACCAGCTGGGTGACCCCAGGCTTACCTTCTCTGAGTATCAGAGTCAAATAGAGAGGGTTGGACTTGGAAGCCCATCAAAGACCATCCCAGTTCTAGGGTGGTTTTCTACCACAAGCTACAACTAAACATAGGAACACCCTGAGCTCCTAACTACTGACGTATCTACAGGGGACAAGTATTCACATTCAAATGTGCACTCTGACAATAAGAATGATAAAATAAGCCCAAATTGAATGCTACTTCATGGTCATCTCATATGATTTTTCTAGTTGTAATAAAATTGCCTCATTTCAAAACACAATCCTATATATAGAGACTCTTTGCAAACTTAATTTATATACCAAATTAAATCTATACAAGTAAAAGCCTTATTACACATAAGATACATGACATACATGAATACAGAAAACATTCTGTCCTAGAGGAAATGATTGTTTAGTTGGGTGAAAACACAAATGTGGAAAAATAAATAACAAGAAAACAAAACAAAAAAAGGTATGATAATTAGTGAATGACAAATTGCCAATGAACTAATGATAGTAACAGATAATTATTGTGTGTTTACCATGTGTCACATGATTCTAAGTCCTTTACATTTTAATCTTTACAACAAGCAGTGAGGTAGGCACAATGACTGCCTTCATTTCACAGATGCTGTGAACTAATAAGGCACAACAATTAAGTAAACAGTTCAAAATCACACATGAAGGGAGGAGCTAGCATTTGAAACTAGCCAGTCCAACTCTAGAAGGTATGCTCCTAGTTCCTCTTAGGGCCTCCACTAACTAAGAATCAACATGGGAAGTAGAAAGAGGCTGGCAGGATCAGGGAAACGTCTTGGAAGGAGGATGGAGAGAGAGGAGGTAGGGGCAGGGGTGGCAGGAGAACAGCAGGAAGAACAGTGTCCCATTCAAGAAAACCTGGGGCTGGTAGAGAATGAGACAGAGATTATTAATAGATTCCAAGCTGGAGGACTCTACTTTTTAAGAGGCCACTGGCCACTTTGGTTGGCACATTTTTATTTAAAGGCAGAGCTTAAGAGCACCCCAAGACTATGGCCCTGAGATATACTTTAGGCCTAGGATAAAACTCATTTCCAAGGGCTGACTCTCAGCCCAACAGTAAATAAGACTTACATGCAGAACACTCAACCAAGGGCGATGCACCCACCTACTCTATGGAGATATGTTCCTTGGAGCAATCAGCCATGGGGCACCAGAGGGACAACATTCATCCAGAGGAAAAACTGGACCGACAGGAGTACATAACTGACAAGGGCACAGGGAGGGGGATGGTTACTGGGAAAGGAGAGGAAGAGAGTGGGTTAGGGTGGGGGATGGTTATTGGAGAGTGAAACCAAATGTACACGAAATGGTGAATGTAAAACAAATTCTGCTCCGTAGATTTGTATTTAAAGCACAATAAAAAAAAAAAAAAAAAAAAAAAGCACAGGCTTTCATCTATATTAAGGCACTTTAAGAGTTGGGTGATCTTAGACAAATCACTTAGCTTCTTAGAGCCTCAGTTTTCTGACCCAAAAAATAGGAGTAAGTATACCCCATAGAATTGTTCAGGGAAATAAGTGAAAAGATACATACAGAGCCCTTAACATAGGGCCTGGAACACAAAATCGTGTGTCACTGTAAGATTTATGCTTGCCTACTGCTTTAAGAATCATTAATATGTAAATTAATGGAAACCTTTGAGACTCTTTGGTTAAGGCAGAAACCCTATCCTGACTTACCTGATTTTTCCACACTGGGATATCTTATGATCAGGCACACTTGTAAGTTATGGCTGTGTTCCAACACACTGCTATGTCTGCTCACATCTGTCTAGAGCCTCCCTTATGGCAAAAGACTTCCTCTTCACACTTTTAAGAGTCAATCAGACCCAACAAGATAGACTCTGGGGCTACAACTTTCAGTCACCCTTCACTTCCAGCTTCTACATCTACTGTCAGGTCCCTGGCAGAATAGGCTGGAAATGTAGGTAGCCAAGGCAGGTGGCACATCCTCCCTCCTCACTTGTCCAGAGACTGAGTCAGGTGGGCAGCAGCTCTCCCAACCACCCTCCCGGGCTCCCAAAGATCTACTGCCCAGCCTGACAGAGGGAAAGGGAAGCTACTTCAATATCTCAAATATTCTCTCTCATTATCTATGCTTTTCTTACCTTCTCTGTTTTGCTCTGGCGGCTAAATCCATACCTCCTGTAGACCACAAAAAAGGGGAATTCAGTTACTATCCAAAAATTACAATAAATTCTGTCAAATGCATTTTGGTTGGAAATTTAGGCTATTTCTGGGAAAACTGTTTTAAGTGCCTAAACCACAAACATATTTCAATTTTTTTTTTTTTTTTTAAATAAAGGGCCACTCATCTATTTACTATATAACTACTGTAAAATAAATAAATACTGTAAATGGGAACTCCCAGATAGGGTAGTGTGCATTTTCTTTAAGTGCAATCATTACTTTTTAAATCAGAAGCTGCATTTCTGATCCAGAGTGTAAGCTAAAAGCCTTAAAAAAAAAAACCTATATAAATAAATGTGAGTATATTTGCTCCACCAACATGTTCTCTAATAACTACTTCATAGTCTTAAGTCCAGAACATTTTTCACTTTCAAATGCCACCCAAGCATGATGCTAATCATGTTACGTATTCACTTCATGCAACTTTAAATTCAAAGTAACACATAAACACCCTTCAGTTTAGTTTATTTTTTGGTTCTAATTACTCTGAGCTAAAAAAATAAAATAAATAAGTAAAAGCAAAAACCATTCAACCTATAACAAAAAGAATAATGCAAAGCTCCCACTCTCACTTGCTTTAAGATAATTCACAGAGGTATAAAGTCATATGCAAGTATTTAAGAAGAACCTATTAAGGGTTTCTGCTCTGGCCTAGCTTATACCACTCTTCACTTTCTAGGTCAGTGTGTTGGCTCTCCTAGGTCTAGGGTGATTTTCTATCTACAACCAAAGTCCTCCTCTCCATTCTTTATCCATCTTCGCACTGGCCTGGTCTGCAATCATCAATGGTGGGCCTTCTCCCTCAGGAGAAAACAGGACTATTCAGCACTCTCCTTAAGGCCTCTCTTCTCTGGCTCTGCCTAGTTAACAGTTTAGCCTCACCTTTAGCAGATCACCTCCCATGCTCTTGTTCCATCCACTCTTCAAACAAGCAGCTCTACATACAGTAAACTGTTCTCTTCTCTCCCTCACTTCTCTGTTCAGCTCCTCACACACACACACACACACTCAGGTCTAAAGCCACCTTCTCTTGGAAGCTCCCCTGCCACACACTCCATCTCCATACTCTGCCTAGGAATGGGATCTATCTATCCTTCCCTTTGAGCATCCCTCTCTATTTCTTGGATGGCAGTCATGTCCAACTGCTTGTTTGTATCAGTATCTTCCTCTTTGAGGGGAATGATTTTACTTTTACATTTTGTATTCCCAATGTTTGGTGAATGAATACATTAAATTTAAGTGGAAAAGACAGTGCAGAAATCAAGAAGTCAAAAGTATCACGAGACCTGAAACAGGCTGTCATAAAACCAGAGAGATCAAAAAGTTCTTGCTGGATATTCTATCTCCCATCTACCCAATGGTGTATGCATACCTCATGCATACCTCTACAAGCCCAAAGTGTAGAACACCAAGGTTAGGTTTTGAGTATTGACATGAGTTTTGTAAAGGGCCTATGAATGATTCTGGGAATTGGTTCAATAAACATCTATTGAAGCCTGCTACTGCAGAAGCTGGAAACCAAAGACACTATTTTCCATTCCCCCTTGCAGCTAAGGTTCTGAATACTATATAGATTCCACCAATCAGATGTATTTGCAGGACTTCTGAATGCAAAACAGTTAAATGAGAAAAGGAGGGCATAAAGGATAGATTGGGCTAGTATAGATCACAGCAGAAGCAGCCTGTTCTGGGGCCAGTAGTTGTTATAACAGCTTCCTTCTCTGCAGAGACAGCTTCCTGACTTTGGCAGAAGTAGTATGAATGGCTCTCCTGCCATCAGCTGTAGACCAGCTTCCCAGTTCTACTGCTTGCTAGCTTGCTGACTGCAGCAAGAAGCAGAACCAATCTTGGAGGCCCAGCTTGCTCTAATGCAGAGTTTTGTTGCTGACTCTGGCTTAGGCCAGATTCCATCTTGTAAGGCTTCCCATTAAGTGCTGTAATCAATCTCTTCTTACTACAACTATCTTGGTTATGTTTTCAACCAAGGAACTCTGACCAATACAGGCCGCACAAAAGTTTCCCACTCCTAGGAGTATACAATTCTTGGTGTTCCTGTTTTCCAGGTCTTTAGGTGGTAGAGACCCTTAGGACAGAAGACATACCCTCACACAGACAGCCCTCATTTATGGCCTTGGGATTTCCTGGATTTTCTAGAGAAAAGAGTAAACAATCAAGTCTGGGTGACTCAATTTCCGGGTCCCATCTACTCCTCCTTAAAGATAAAGCCTCTACAAAGATTTTCTGACCACCCCAAACTAGGTTAGGCTCCCCTACTTATGCATATGTTTACACCCACTGTCACACTCATATCACAATGTATAATAATTATGTGTAATCACCTAAACTGTCTGCTGAGCTCCTTGTTTTTTTAATGAGTGAGCTCCTTAATGGGAGAAAATTTCCTTCATTCACTTCTTTTTTGAAAACTTTTTAAATTGAGATGTAATTCATGTAACATACAATTCATTATTTTAATGTAAAAACTTCAGTGGTTTTAAGTGTATTCTCTGTGTTGTACAAACACCACCACTATCTAATTCCAAAACATTTCCAGAAAAAAAAAAAAAAAATCCTGTAACTACTAGCAGTTGGTTCCAATTGCCCCTTCCCTCACCCCTCTGGAACCCACTAATCTATTTCTGTTTCTATGAATTTACCTATTCTGGAATTTGATATAGAGGAATCATACATTTTGTGGTCTTTTATGTTGCTGGGCTTCTGTCTTTCAGCATACTTTTAATATTCATCCATATTGTAGCATGGATTACTACTTCATTCCTTTTCATAGCTGACTTCTCAATCCACTGTACAGAAAACACATTTTGTTTATCAATTCATCAGCTAATGAACATCTGAGTAGTTTTCACCTTTTGGCTATTATGAATAATGCTGCTATGAACATGCATACAGGTTCAGTCACTTTCATATCTCTAGGGCCTAGTTCAGTGCCTGGCACATATTGTTAGCTGCCAAAAAGGAACAAAACTGCCCAGTCCTGCACCATCCCCATGTTTGGTTGTGGATCAGACTGCTGTGATCCATAGGGTTTTTTCATTGGCAGATTTTTGAAAGCAGATCACCGGGCCTTTCTTCCTAGTCCTCTTAGCCCAGAAGTTCTGCTGAAACCTGTTGAGCATCATGGTACCACACAAGCCTCCAATGACAGATGGGTAGTGGCTGCATATGAAGCACACTGGCTGGGAACTGAACTTGGGTCTGCCACACAGAAGGTGAGAATTCTACCACTGAATCACCACTGCTCCCAATCTGGCACATCTGTTGTTGTATTAGGTGCTGTAGACTCGGCTCTGACTAATCACGACTCCATGTACAACAGAATGAAACACTGCCTGGTCCTCTGGCAGCTTCACAATTCTTGCTGTATCTGAGCCCATCATTGCAGCCACTGTATCAATTCCATCTCGTTGAGGGCCTTTCCCTTTTTTGTTGACTCTCCATTTTATCAAGCATGATATCCTTCTCCAGGGAATGGTCTCTTCTGACAACATGACCAAAGTAGGTGAGACAAAGTCTGGCTACTTTTGCTTCCAAGTAGGATTCCAGCTGTACTTCTTCCAGGACAGATTTGTTATTTCTTCTGGCAGTCCATGGTACTTTCAGTACTGTTTACCAGCACACAACTCAAAAGCATCAACTCTTTTGGTCTTCCTTATTCACTGTACAGCTTTCACATGCATATGAGGCAATTGAAAATACCATGGCTTGGGTTAGGCTCACCTTAGTCTTCGAGGAGACATCTTTGCTCTTCAGCACTTTAAAGAGGTCTTTTGCACCACATTTGCCCAGTGCAATATGTCATCTGATGTCTTGACTGCTGCTTCCATTGGTGTTGACTGTGGAACCAAGTAACATGAAATCTTTGATAACTTCAATCTTTTCATCAATCTTTATGCATTCCATTTTTTTTGATAACTTCCAATTTTCCTAGATTTGTACATTCCATGTTTCAATTATTAATGATGTTTGTAGCTGTTTCTTCTCATTTTGAGTAATGCACATCAACAAATGGAGGTCCCAAAAGATCTACTTCATCCACATCATTAAGGTTGGCTCTATTCAGAAGAGGCAGCTCTTCCCCAGTCATATTTTAAGTTCCTTCCAACCTGAGGGGCTCATGTTCCAGCACTATATTGGATAATGTTTCAGGGCTATTCATAACATTTTCCAGTAATATATCAGATAACATTTCACTGCTATTCATAAGGTTTTCACTGGACAATTCTTTGAGAAGTGGATGGCTCCTTCCTTCTTCTATCTTAGTCTGGAAGCTCCACTGAAACCTGTCTACCATGGGTGACCCTGCCGGTATTTGAAATACTGGTGGCATAGCCTCCAGGCTCACAGCAATACGCCACCACAGTATGACAAACTGACAGACAAGTGGTGGTCTGGCACATAGTAGGAGCTTAATAAACATTTTCTGTAATAAAGCTTAATAAGCTAGTTTTTCTAAAGGGTTTCTTCTCTATGTGATATGTAGCAATGCTTCTAAGACAAAAAAGAGCTGTCCTCAGATGCCAATTAAAGTCTACCTCATTGAGCTCACTAGTCCTGGCAACTATGAGAGTCTTTCGTGTTGTTTGATTTTCACCAGAACGTGATATCCCTTTGCTGCCTGTCTATCATGTCTCACACAGAGCAGGTAGACTCTTCAACTCATTTCTATTACAAAAGCAGTTACAGCCCTTTCATCCTTTTTAGGCATGTTATTCCATCCTATAATTTCCCTCTCCTCTTACCCTGTCATTCTGGACCTTTTCTGCTAAGTGCTGTAAGTGCCAGCTCTGACTTGCAGTGCCATCACTTCAATTTGATCCTGCCTTCCTTTTCTTTAGGAACTTTGGTGGTACAGTGGCTAAAGCAAAAAAAAAAAAAAAAAAAAATTTGTGTTTTGAACCCATCAGCCACTGTGTGGGAGAAAGCTGTGGCAGTCT